TGAGTCCTGTGTAGGTATCAGCCCATTTTTAAAAAAAAAAAAAATTTTAGGTTATACGTGTATCTATTGTTCTAGTTACAATACATATCATAAAAAGACATTGTCACCTAAGTATTTGACGTGTTACATGTATCTCTACCATGTGCATTCAAATCTTTAAACATCATTAAATATTATATAAACCTATATTTTCTCTTATTGGTTAAATTTAAAATCGGAAATGTTTTAACACTGAAAAAAAAAAAAAAAAAAAAAATTACAAACTTCATGTCTTGTTTTATGAAATTATCGTGTATTCGCGTTTAATTTGCTTTGCTGAAAAAGACCAAATTCCTTATCTTCCAAAACCAACTTTTACCAGCAATTAAAACGATTTTACTTACCATTTTATCACTAAAATTATTTTTTTTCTTTGGAGTTTATATTCAACCTTAATTATTCATGTAATATGCATAATGAACAATTTCAGCAATAAAAATATGCACATAAACAAACTTACCTGAACTAACATAACAGACCACAACAAACAAGACCATTAAAAAATGAGTGGGTTTCTGTCACATCAATTGAGTCTTCAATATTCATTAACAGAATTTTTGATAAAAGAATATATATGTATAAGGAAATGTTGGTTTTATTTGGATATTCTTTGTCTTATAAAAATTTTAAAATTCTAATTTTTGTGTAAATACCTCATACATAAAGTATATAAATATTAATATGTAGTTATTTACAAAAAAGACGTTTTGGAGTTAGGTTAATAATAGAGAGAGTTATTATGTGTGTAATGAAAAAACCAAGTTCTTTTTCTTTTGAAAGCATTTAACACCGCAGTAAAAAAAACTTTCTTTCGCAGATTTAATCCTGTGATGGTAAAAGTGAAGAAATTTAAATACAACCGAACCATTTAATCAAACTCGACGGGTCCAAGGTTAAAATTAGGTTAAAAGTAGAGATATCCGGAATTCTATATAACGAATTTAAAAGCTATAAAGAAAATGTGGTAGGGACTACAAAAACACTTCGACATATCCCTGATATTCGAGATTATCGTGTTCGGAATAATGCCGTTTATCTGGATAAATACATCATGTTTTAGAGCGACGGACAGAAATATTGAAAGCCAGTGCGGCATTAATTTGTACTGGACAACAGACATGCATATACTATTTGCATTTAAAAAAAATCGAAAGCAAACGTGAAAGAGAGGAAGGATTCAAAATAATGACTGAATCTACTTAAAATGCAGAATTCCGTATGTGTACAAAACTTTTACAAAGATCTCGAGTCGGTTGTACAGTAAATCTTGATTAATCCGGATGTTGTGTATTTCAAAATTTTACCTATAGCTTATAATCACTTTGGGTAAGTTTCATTAAAAAAAAAAAGGGTTATCTGGAACTTTGTCTAATCCGGTTAATTTCAACTTGATATCTGAATAATTTATTTTGGTGACAATACATTTTTATCACTTATCATATTGTTTTTTTTTTAAAATTAATTTCATTTTTTTTTATCGATGAATCACTTCGATGAACAAACATGACAAATGCACTAAAATTTCTATGTATCTTGGAATTTTTACTCTGTTTTTAAAGACAGCCTGAAATAAAAAAAAAAAATGTTCACGCTTTCAGCTTTGAATATGTTGCGCTTTCGAATTCCTTGAATGCTCACTTGTGATAGTACATTTTATAATTTTATAATTAATAATTTTATAATATAAATCTTGGTTGCGGCCGATTTGATGCTTGGCATCAATTTTACTTGTTTTCTATTGTACACTCATTATTTATATACACAATTTAGCAATGCAGGTTATATCTACGTTGTTAATCTGTCTCATAGACTATTAATGACTGCTTATCTGATCAAATATTTGAAGTATACATGTATTTACATGTAATTTATGTGTGTTTTTCAACACGTCAGTCCTTAGAGCATAGAGCAATGAAGATGCATCAAGGTTATCAGTGCATTTTTTTCCCTTTCAATGTATCACCTTGAATCTAAATGCACGTGTCAAGTAAAGAAAAAAAGATCGCCTAGGAAAGGAAAGTGAATAAGTGAAACGATCATGAAGCAATTAACTAATTAATTAATTAATTTCTGTCCAATGACCCCTAATAAACATCAACGAGGTGAACTTTTTTGCGAAATATATAAAATAAATCATGGAATAATGTGTCACATTTTTTTTTCCTTTGCAGCGCTATCGCCGTACGTGGCCTGACTCGTGACAGATTCCATATTTTGATGAGCTACAAAACTTTATGACAATTAAGGCCACTGAAGAGTTCTACTGAGTCAAAGTCATCAGATTTAATAAATTCTAGTCATGAAATCGAAGTGCGTTCCATAGCTTGACCCTAGTTTTTGCAAGGTATCAATGTTATATCATTGACCCTATATGGAAATAATGTTGATTTCCATCATCGAACAATGTGAAATTTACATAATATGTGAAATCTACATAAAGCTAAAACGTTTTCTTTGCATTTGTAAATTACGAAATAGTTTATCTATCTGTTAGGGTAATTAAAAAGTGGTTTACATAAACATGTCATTTCTATAGATTCTTCTGATCTAGAAGCATTTCATACCAGCATTTGGTATGTCAAATATGATGATCTGAAACATGATCAAAGAAAAAAAATCAATGACAGCTTCCTCAATTCAGTTTCAGAAAATTTTCAAAAACAACTTTCAGTCGTTTGCGGAACTTTCATCAAACGACAATGCATCAAGGTCAAATTGAAACTTTATTGTTCATTAAAACATTCCTGTAATCCAAACACGCACAGGACTTCATTGGTTCAGCATAATCATGTTAAGGAATTTTAAAGTACATTTGGACATATTTAAGTCTTATCTGTATCGGAGAAATATGTGAATATATGATTATGAAATAAATAAATACACAAATATTTTTCAACAAGACCAAGCAGAAAATATCAATACTTATTCGAAAGCAGCATTCACAGTATCCTGTACATATAAAATAAAAGTTCCAATAATTATTATTAGATATTGGTTTGCATTTAGGAATGTCTGTATGTGCCACAGAGAGTGCTATTATGGATAAAGTTAAAATAAAATATGACTATCCTGATCATCTACACTGAAGAAAAGCTGTAAAAGTCTTCGTTTTCTGATAATTGATTTTGAATTCTAATTTTGGAAACACAGGGTCTCTTGCAAAAATGATTGTTTCATTATAAAATTACCTCATTTAAGGGAAAGAAAAATCGACCACACATGTACAATAAAACGCACATGAAGAGTACTTATGAATAAGCTGTATGTAGCCTTGAGTGAAACAAAACCAGCAATCTGTCTTTTAATTAGTCACTTATCAGTTTTGCCACAACCAATCACTGATTTAACCACAAACATTGTTAACCATTAAACCGCAGTCATAAATCGATTTAAACGATTGAGTTTGATACAGGTTTTGATTTAGTGATCGCAAGTTTCCCCTAGTGAAATGAGATGATATCATCTGAAATGGGAAATTCGCTTGTTTTGCACTAAAGTGACACAATTTAATGTATTTGGAATCCGATACCCTTAAAAGCTTTTGATACCGATTATAATAAAACTGCTTATAATGATTATTCTGATGATCTTCAAGAAAGACTAGATTATCTAAATTTGATAAAATCTCCGATGCAATTTTTATAATTGATTGTTATTTTTTTCTGGATCTATGCTAATGGTATCTTGAGCCCGATGTTTCAGAATAGCTTTTGGCGCAATTCTCACATTTGGCGTATTTAGTTATATCACCATGAATCACATTGTCGATTACCACCTGAAGAAAAAAAACGAATGAAAATAGTAATAAATGAAATACAAATTTAAAGATTTTCCTTGCGCATGTGGTTCAATTGATCAATCAATCAAGTATCTTCCCCCATAAATAAATGTTGAATCAATAATCAATGTATAATTTGTGGAATCGTGCAAAATTTGTTTTCGTTTTTAAATAAATGAATATGAATCACTGCTATTATTAATGTATTTGAATTACACACCCGTCGTAGAGTTTGATAATAGTTACTCACATTAAGTTCGATTTGAAATAATAATTCAGGTTTTTTTTTACCCATTCAATCATATTAATCATCGATATTAAAGGAAACGTGTACAAATTATATAAATATATATATACGGCATGTTTCACGTGTTTTGAAATGTAGTCGAGTTTTCGTTAAAAAATATGCAAGGAAATATCTATTTATACACTGTGTTTGTATTAGAAAAAACTGAAACTCTTTTAATTTCAAAAGATGACACATTTTGTTTTCGTATTTCAAATGTATAATGTTCAAGTAAAGTAAAAATTGATTTATTTATATATCTATATATATTTTAGGGGAGAACTGAATTAATTTTAAAATGCGAATACATGGTACAATGTCTCGGGAACAAACGAACGGAGAAACAGTGTTCGTTAGACGCTATTGTATTAAGATTTATAATTTACGTTTGCTTCCTGCAGAAACTACAAGAAATGAGATAAAACACATATGAAAGGTATACAATGTCTGTTACAGCAGATATACAACCCGACAAACCTGTTCGAATGTAACAAATCTCCATCTTACTCCAATAATTAAATAATTAACTAAAATTGTTATTTTAATAAAGCCAAGAAACATATTTTTTTTCTTGTGGTCAGAGATGAATGCCAATATCAACAATAATAGCAAAGTTTAATTCTCGCAATATTCGACGATTATATTTTATTGCTAAGTGAATAACTAATTAGTGAAAGGTTAATTAATTTATAACGTATAGGAAGTTTGATAATCAAAATTCAAATTGTTTGGAATGTCTTTTCGCTCTCGAAGGGGTACGAGCTTGTCAAACACATCATGAATATATTAATTCGCGATTGACGGCATTCATTTGTCGAATTTAATGAACGTGCATAAATTTTGTAGAACATATATAAAGCAAGACGTGCTCCTCGATTTCACCATAGAACCTTTCGTCTATCTTTTCTGTAGCCACAGTGGAACTTTACGATTCATTGTGGTTAGAAACATGGGGACTACACAGGTTTTAGTGGGGGTCATATGTTTGCTATTTTCACAATGTTCTGGCTTCTTCAATCCCGCCATGGTAAGTTTCTACTATTGTAACCATTTCAGAGTTTTCTTTTATAATTGTCAGTTTGAGTGTATCAAAGTAAATCGAAAATAATTTTAAAAATTGAGTCTTATTTTTATTCTTTCGATAGTTTTACTCATAATGGAAAAAAGTGGTTTTCATTAATTAAAAAAAGGCCCCATTAATATAATTAATCTGAAATGAAAAGAAACATTTTTCTCTACTTATATTTTGTTTGCATTTTTTTCTTTCAGAAACATTCCCTCGCACAATCCATCAGCCAATCCGTTTCAAAAGCAGTTGCTAACAACCAAAATCAGATGTTGGTAGCTAATGTTGCAAACGTTGGCTCTATGATCGGAACACAAAACAATGGCCCAGTACAGAACTTTAACGCCAGAAAACCTGCACCACAACAGCCAAGTTTACCGGCAGGAATCAGTTCGTCGTTCGCTAGCAGATTTTCTGGTGGCCAGCAAACTCAACAGAGTCATAATTCTTACCACACCTCTTTGTCTGCATCTGCTAGCCAACAGCAGCAACAAGTTAATGAGTATCGTAAGCTCTTTGGAATGCTTGCTTCTTTGACCCACAACCAGCATCAACAGCATTCACATTCTGGAAATGTGATGAAAGCAGAAGCAATCCTGAATAAGATGCTTGGAAAGTCCATCAGCATGAAAGCCACAAACTCTTACTCCTCGCCAGCTCAAATGACTTCTCGTATTCAACTTATCCAGAATATGATTGTTGAACTTATGAACTACAGAAAACAGTTAGGCAGTGCAAAAGCCAAGAAAAATCCATTGACAGTATTCATGAGGAGCTACGATCTACAAAAGAAAGGAATGTTGGAGGCCTTCTTGAACCTTGTTCGTAATCATCAGGTACAGCAAGCCGTCGTTGATAACTCGGTATACAGACGTGTTAGCTCTTCAAACAAGAATTCTCACAACACGATTGTTTTCGCAAAGAATGCCAACGTACATTCTCCAGTTCAAACTCAGCACAATGCCCCGATGTACCCAGGAGCACCAAAAACAACAACAACTACAACAACAACACCAGAACCGACAACAACAACAACCACACCAGCCCCAACCACAACAACGCCACCTCCTCCTCCACCACCGAAGTACCAACCTCCACCAAAATATCAACCTCCTCCTCAATACCAACCTCAACCATACTACCCACCGCAGTATGTTAACCAACACCAGACAATAAACAATAACGTCAACGTCAACAACAATGGAGGAGCTAATGCAATGAACGCTCACGTAAATATTGGTAATAATCAGAATCAGCATGCAGGCGGTCAAGGTGGATTTTATCAAGGACCCCCACCACAAGGACCTCCCCCAAAAGCACCAACTCCTCAAGGACATTGGCAACCAGCACCAGGGCAGCCTAACCAGTTCCAGGGACTTAATAACAATGTAAATGTTAACAACAACGGAAGAGGTCCAGCTAATTTTAATGTTGGAATACAAAACAACCAAAATCAGCATGCTGCCGGAGGTGGATACTATGGAGGAAGCCATGGAGCTGCTCAACAAGGTGGACATACCCAGCAAGGTGCTTACATGCAAGGTGGTCATGGTAACGCTCGAGGCGGACAAGGTGGTCACGGTGGTGCTCAGGGTGGTTATGGTGGACAGCAAGGCGGCCAACAGGGAGGACACGGTGGTCAACAAGGAGGTCACGGTGGTGCTCAAGGCGGACATGGTGGACAGCAAGGAGGTCATCATGGTGGTGCCCAGGGTGGTTATGCTAGTGCTCATGGAAGGTATGGTGGACAACAAGCAGGTCAACAAGGTGGTCATGGCGGTCAGTATGGTGGTCAGCAAGGAGGCCAGCAAGGCGGTCAACAGGGCGGTCATGGTGGTCAACAGGGCGGTTATGGTGGTCATCAAGGCGGACACGGTGGCCAGCAAGGCGGACACGGTGGCCAGCAAGGCGGACACGGTGGTCAGCAAGGAGGACACGGTGGTCAACAAGGTGGTCAACAGGGCGGTCATGGTGGTCAACAAGGTGGTCAACAGGGCGGTCATGGTGGCCAACAGGGTGGTTATGGTGGTCATCAAGGCGGTCAGGGTGGTCAGCAAGGCGGACACGGTGGTCAGCAAGGTGGTCAACAGGGTGGTTATGGTGGTCAACAAGGAGGACAAGGTGGACATGGTGGTCAACAAGGAGGACAAGGTGGACATGGTGGTCAACAAGGAGGACAGGGCGGCTCTCAAGGTAGTCAATTTGGAGCTCATTGGAAAGGAGTTTTCGGGCAGCAAGGAGGAACTGGTGCAAAACAGGCTGGTGCTTATAGTGGTGCTCAAGCTAGACAAGGGGGTGCACAACAAGGCGGTCAACAAGGTGGTCGTGGTGGAGGTGCTGCTGGTGGATTTACGAACATGCATGTTGACATTATGAATAATCAAAATCAGTACAGTGCGGGAAACGCAAATCAATACCAAGGACTAAATAACAATGTCAACTTAAATAACAACGCTGGTCCACGTTCCCGTAATCCGATGGGACAGCCTAAAATGCCAAAAGCTCCAAAAGGTCGGTCCAACGGTGGTGGTGCAGGTGCTTATCAGGGTGGATATGGAAACAATCAAGGAATGAACAACAACCTCAACATTAATTTAAAGGTACCAAGACCACCAAAACAGTCAGGTCCTGCAGGTGGTAGTCCAGCAAAAAATCCCAAAAAGACACATATTTACATCAACTTTCACGCTCCAATTGACAATGGATTCTATCCTTCCCTGAATGCTGGTGTTGGTCCTCGACCAAAGTCTCCTGGAGGAGCAACCCCAAAGAAAGGACCAAGACCAAAAGGGCCTAAAGGTGGTTCCCCTAAGAAAGGACCCAAGAAAGGACCAAAGAAAGGTGCTGGACCAACTCCTAAAAAGGGACCTAGACCTAAATCCCCTTCACCCAAAGCTAAAGGACCAAAGAAAGGACCTCGACCTCCAAAAGGTGGACCACAGCCGAAAAGCGGAGCACCCCAGCCCAAAAGTGGTCCAACAGGAAAATATACGAAAACAACATTTCATCAGCTCCAACATGGAAAACTTCCAATTAATTTAGTAATCAACAACAATTTCCCACAAAATATGATGAATATCCATGGACACGGCAATAACGCTGGAGCCACAGCTCTCCATCAACCAAACAATAACGCAGGAGGTCACCAAGGAGCTAGCTACAATGGACAAAGTGCTCACACACAACAATCACAAGGAGGTCAAGCAGGGGGACAAGGCCAGGGTCAACTGGGAGGTGGACAAGGTCAGGGTCAGCAGGGTGGAGGATATGGTCAAAGTCAACAGGCTGGTGGACATGCTCAAAGTCAACAGGCTGGAGGACACGCACAGTATAGTTCACAGTACAGTGCACAGTACAACACTCACACCAAATTACATGAAACTGTCTTACCTAAAAACAAAGTCAAAATAGTTGGTAACAGAAACAAGGTTCGCACCTTCGCTGGTTTAGAGAACCAGCTTCAAAATCTCCCTCATGGCTCGACAGTGAAAGGTGCACAAAGTGGACAAGGACAATCACAACAAGGTCCATCAGCTTTGGTAAACGTACATATGCAACAACTTTTGCAACTTCTTACTGGTCAAGGTGGTCAAGGCGGTAGTCAAGGAGGAAGTCAAGGCGGTAGTCAAGGAGGAAGTCAAGGCGGCAGTCAAAGTGGCAGTCAGGGTGGCAGTCAAGGTGGCAGTCAGGGTGGCAGTCAAGGAGGCAGTCAGGGTGGCAGTCAAGGAGGCAGCCAAGGTAGTGCTTACGACATTTATGCCCAACAACAACAAGCTCTTCAGATGCAAAGCGGAAGTCAAGGTGGAAGTCAAGGAGGCAGCCAGGGCGGAAGTCAAGGAGGAAGTCAAGGTGGCAGCCAGGGTGGAAGTCAAGGTGGCAGTCAAGGAGGTTCCCAAGGCAGTGCTTACGATATTTACGCTCAACAACAACAAGGTCTGCAAATGCAAGCTGGTCAGCCAAGTGCACCATACGAGCCTTATGCACAAGGTGGTCAGGGAGGGCAGCAACATGGTGGTTATCAACAAGGAGGTCAACAAGGTGGACAACAGGGTGGTCAGCAAAGCATTATGATGTCTCAAATTATGGAACTAGCTCAACAGGTGCTTGCTGGAGGACAAGGCAATCTCCCGCCATCTACACAACAGATGTTAGACATGGTCATTGCTCAAGGACAATCAGGACATGGAATCCCCCCAGATCAGATTAACGTGCTTATTGAGATGCTAACCCAACAATTACAAAGCGCTAGTTTCCTCGACCTGGGCGCCCAAGCAGGAGCTCAGGCTTCATCTTCATCATATGCAGCATCAAGCAGCCAACACGCCTCATCTCAACAGAGTAGTTACTCTGCCGGGCAGCAGCATCATCAAGCTGGTGGATATGCAGCAGGTCAGAGCCAGGGAATGCAATTCATTGACCCTGTCACTAATAACGCTGTTCCACCTGTGGACTTCCTCGGGTCTCTTCCGAAAATGGCTCTTTACGAATCCGGATCAGTTGTAGTATCCAAATCCAAAAAGCCTTAAATCAGGGATAAAGACTTGATTAACTAATGTAAGTCGCCCATGATCTTGGAAACCAAATCTACAGTCTTTCGTTGATTTCTTTTCGATTAAACTGGTTTTCAATGAGCATGGTTGACAAAATTTTGGGGTCTTGTTGAAACAGTACGTCCTGAGGAAATTCGAACTAGCAATGTATGGTTCAGGGATTATTTGGGCGCACTTGACCGCACCGGAGACAGTATTATTTGACAGTTAATTCTGCATGTAATTTGTTATGTTAATTTAAAATGACACTGTGATTCTACGTGTGCGAAAGGCGAGAGAAAGAATATTTATTTTGTTATGAGTGTTGTTAGAATTTATTTATTGTGATGACAAGTGAAATCCGTTTGTCTCACTGTTATGTCAATAAAAAATGAAAATATTAATAAATTTTTGTTATCAATAAAGGATCAGGTGTAAGGTATTGAACATCTAATTGAAAAAAAAATACTGTCAGTGTGTATATAGGATGCAGTCCTACTATCTTAAAATACTGAGAATGAGATATTGCAAAGGATGTGAAAGTCACCATCAAATGTATAAAAAGATTGTTGTCATTTAAAATTATTTAGATCTTACAGTTATATAAACATGCTTGTGTATAATGATAGTCATAGTAATGCAAATGACATTTTGCCGGATGAAAGAACAGAACGCTTAATTAAAAAGGTAAAGGAAACATTTTCATTATACTCCATACCCCTTCAATTTCGATAAATCACTTTACACAAAGCACATAATAACATAAATGTTTTGCAAAGTTCAAAAGGAGACAATAAGTGTATAAAGTATATATAAAGTATATTTATATCCGTATTTAAATATGGATTTATTTTAAAAAAAAATGGAAATTTTTCACATTAATCAGATTTAAACAAGGTGTGCTTTCTTTTCAATATTTAATTTTTTTGCTTTGAAGCTAAGAGAATAGAATAGAAACAGCCATATTTTTGTATATTTCTCAACTTTTCCTTCAAAATTACTAGCACGCATATACAAAAACATAAAACCGTGGCTAATATTCGCCAGAAAATGTAGATTAATCACCTGTTCTGATATTAATGTAATTTATTAATGTCCTTTCTTGTCAACTATTTCTTTTCTGCAAAATTTTAGAGGGCACTTCTGTAAAATGTAGATTTATGCATTATTAAGGAGTCAAATAATCATTTTATAAAAATCCTTTCAAGTTTAGTGTTTGATATCTCTTCTTCTATTTCCCTTAAAATTAATTATTCAAGAATGTTCAAAGAGGTCAATATTTTCAACACGAAAAGGTCACAGGGTCCCCGAAATGACGTCACGTGGACTTTTCGTACCATGAAATCTAGCTGATTACTTTAATTAAGGTCAAGTATTCCGAATAAATATCAACAAAGCGGTTGGTAATATTGACAAGGTCTAGACGTTTAAACAATGTCAATTGCATGTTTAATTGTTATGTAAATACAATTAATAACACTTCATAAAATATTAATCAGGTCTTCTGCAAATCTTCACTTTAACAACAATTACTGTCATTTTCGTTACAGGAAACAAATTATGATTTTTTAAGTATTTATTAACAAGCATAATTTCATGTCAAGATACCACACAGACCAAAGCAAATTAGTTATGTTAATTTTAATTTGAATCTATCATACCTTTTAGCTTTGATTAATATTACAACTACATCTGTACTAGTATATAATAAAAATTTGGAATATTTTCTAACCATTTGCACATTTCTTTAGGTTCAACATGCATATCGCTTGGAATAAATCCAGCAACTACATGTATCAAATTGGAGGGGTTTTCTTTTTAGTTAAGACTAATACTATAGAAAAATTACAGTTGGAAATTAAAAGATCAAAGAGTTTACGCCTTGAAAGAAGACAAGATAAAAAGACAAAATAAAAACATGATGCATAATTTCATACAAATAATTTATATTATAGGGATGAAATCGTTCTTATCAATGAAGTAGCAGAACAGCAATTTAAAACACTGAAGCGACTATCAATCAGCTTGCTACAGATTTGAAGTGACGGAAGATCAATGTATGTCATTGTAGAGACGGAAGATCAGTGTGCTATACTTTTATAGAGACGGAAAATCAATGTGATATACCTTTGGAGAGACGGAAGATCAATGTGATATACTTTTGTAGAGACGAAAGATCAATGTGATATACTTTTGTAGAGACGAAAGATCAATGTGCTACACCTTTGTAGAGACGGAAGATCAATGTGCTATACCTTTGGAGAGACGGAAGATCAATGTGCTATATCTTTGGAGAGACGGAAGATCAATGTGATATACTTTTGTAGAGACGAAAGATCAATGTGATATACTTTTGTAGAGACGAAAGATCAATGTGCTACACCTTTGTAGAGACGGAAGATCAATGTGCTATATCTTTGTAGAGACGGAAGATCAATGTGCTATACCTTTTTAGAGACGGAGGATCAGTGTGCTACATCTTTGTAGAGACGGACGATCAATATGTTTACCTTTTTAGAGACAGAGGATCAGTGTTCTACATCTTTGTAGAGACGGAAGATCAACCGGAAAATTTTACTGATATAAGATCAATCTTTTTCTTCATTAGAGAAGTGATAGGTGATAAGTGTGCTTCATTGTAGTGGTAGAAGATCAGCATGCTACGATGTACATTGTTGTAAAGCAAGAAACAGTCTTACACATTGTTCTGGCTATACACAGTATGAAATATTGTAGCAGGCCCATAAAGCCCCCACACCCTTTTTTCTGAGTATAGTATTTTACTATAGTAAATTTTACTTTAGATGTTTATTTGCCCCCCTCCCATTTGATGCGGTAAGGTCGAACACTGGCAAATTCCAGAATTTGATAGTTTTTTTTTTGCTTCTCAAAAAGGAATTCCAGATTGCTACTTTGTAAAAGGGAAGATCAGCTTGCCATTTTGATTGATTGTGTATTGTTTTACGTCTCGTTCGAGAATTTTTCATTCATTTAGTGATGACTTGCTATTTTGAAGCGAAGGAAGATTGACATGCTATATTATTGTGAGGGATGATTAGCCTGAAACGAAGATCAGCCTACTACTTTGTAGTAGCGAGAAAATCTGCTTCCTACATTGTAGTACAAAAACTAACTTGTTAAAGAGACGGAAAATATTTCCTCGTCGTATAGTTAAAACAGACATAATATTGATTTTGATTTATGATTGCCATTGCAAACCACAAACAAGGATTCCCCCATCATATCAACAGTGAAATCTTCTCGGAAAAAAATTCTGTAATAAATTACCTGACTGTCTGTTCATGAAAATTATTATTACATTAGCCACGTAGTAGAAAGCCAATGGTAATGATCTTCGTTGGAAGTGATGTGAGATTCAAGTCACACATTATCTGTCAAGGCCATAAACTAACGCTAACTCGGTACATATTTGCTGAAAGTTCGAAGCACTAAAGACCAGGAAGCAAACTGAGAGAATGCTAGAAATGTTCATAGGTAGTGTCACATCTAAGTAACTATCCTCTGTAATTTTATGCACAGTGTGTTTCCTATATATTCCTTTTATATACTTGTCATAAAGGGAACATTTTTATCATGTTCGTCTAAGGTTGTTAATTCTTGCATAGTTTGGGATCAAAAGAACGTTCTAAAATTTGTGGGGGGAGGATGGGGGGGGGGGATGAATTTTTGCTACACAGAACTTCTGATTTATATATGTTGTTATGTTTTTAAAAACAGAGAAATTTTTAATGCATAAATTCACAATCACCTAAACATAAAAAATTAGATAAAAAAAAAACATACATGTATATATATATGCCGATGTCAAATGATATTGAGCTGAAGTACCCATTGTCAATCAAAATAAGATAAATCAATTTCTAGCACAGCATACCACGGACAGCATGTGGCTAGTACTGCTACATTGTAGCAGGTAATCAACATTCAAAACAAGAATTAAAAGCTAGCATTTGATCAGTATTTCTCGATGAGGAATATTGCAAAAATGGTTAACGCTGCCATTATGAGATGTCAACTAATGCTAAAGCGAGAGTATGGAGTAGTTTTGTTATAAAGCTTCAGGGAACACGTATTTTTCCATTCTTATTTGTACAAAATTAATCTTAATTACGACAAGATAATTAAAATTGCAATGCTGATTTTCTGAAAACCCCTTTCCCTTTGCTTTACTGAATACACAATCTACATAAGTACAACTTTATGAAACGTATCTGTAGTTAGCAATAATATCTGGTCTTACTGCTTATTATCCTAGTAACGTAACATAGTTATCTGATGTTGATTTCTTTCAGTAATGAAATGTTTATTTTACATGTGCGCATAAATGGTTACGTTAATCGGATGGCTCGGATGAAATCATCCAAAAACCGCCCAGGCTAAATGTTGACAGTAAAGAGTATTTCACGGTATCTGTGCATGTATATTTTTTTCTAATAATCACCGGACTCGTACCACTGACTGATTTTTTCCGCGCAAATATAGATGTCACAACATGTTTTGAGAACATGACGCTCTTTTCCCTCAGTTAATGACACTAACATCCCCACGAAGTGATTAAAATTAAAAATGTTTCTTATTTCTTTATCTATTTTTTAATTCTTTGTTTATTTACCGTTTGATCATTAGATCATATTATTGAAATTAGTAAGTTTATGGTTAAGGAACTTACTATAAAATATTTTTGCTTTGGTTCAACATGCATATGCAGTTCGTCATGAAAGGGTGGTTATAATCAACTTATTTTGCAAGTGCAATATTTATTCAGAAATATATTAGATAGACACCATGCTGATACAATAGTATATATCAATCAAAAAAAAAATTCTAACGTCCAACCTACATATTTTTTTTTATTATTGACAGTTTCCGATTTGATAAGTTTATGCATAAGGGGTCAATATATTAGATTCGTACCACTCTGGAGATTTCTTAATTTCTTGTCTGTGATTAGTCGCCACCCACGCAATTTTACTTCATTGACGTAAAACGTATTTGATAGTTCTTATATATATTCAATGTTAAGCAACACCAAATATCTATTAAGTACACAGATTTTTTTTTTTGATCAAAAGATAGGAATTCTTCCATAGGTAAACGAATAATATTTTCATGAAATTTAAATAATTATTTAGCACCGAAAAGGACGAGACAGATTTTCTAGGAACTATTAAACCACATGTCTTGAATAATATTATATACCCCCTCCCCACCCCTGGCATATTCATTCCAGCGTACTGAAATTCAAAAGATGAGGTTTTAGGTGTGATTTTTGTTAGGCAAACATGTGTCCTTGAAATACTTCAAATAAGTAAAGTTTACTTTGGTTATAAAAAGGGGAAAAACTATCATACATTCACAAAGATCAATTTGTAGACTAATTG